CAACATGGGCGTTGTCGCTTCGAGCCTAGCATCAACGACCGGAGCGGCAACGGTTGACATACCTCCGACATATGGCAGCAACAATCACACTGCACCTCACGTCACCCTCGACCAGGGTGGTGTTCAAGGGTTTCGTGACAGTCACGCCAACTCGGTCTTCCTCGGGGTTCCTTACGCTGCGACTACTGGAGGCCAAAACAGGTAACACAAATGGAGTCTCTAGATTGATACGCATCTGCTAAACTGCCACTCTAGATGGCGCGCTCCTCAAGACGTCCCCAAAGCCACGACGACTCTTAACGCGACATCGTACGGTCCATCATGCCCGCAAGCTCCTGGAGCCGTGGAATACAGTCCTTTGTCAGAGGACTGCTTGAACCTCAACATCTGGGCACCTTCCTCGGGTACCAGTCTGCCGGTCTTCGTGTACATGTATGGCGGCGCAATGGTGACCGGCTCCAACAGCAATTCTCAGCTCCAAGGTGCCAATTTTGCCCGTAACGGGGTTGTCTATGTCAACTTCAACACGCGCAACAGCCTGTTTGCTGCACCGCACTCGTCGGAGCTGGAGAGTTCAAACCCTGGAGAGTCGCAGAACTTCAACATCTTGGACGTCGACAAGGCGCTTGACTGGATACGCGAGAACATCGAGGCCTTTGGCGGTGACCCTGATCACATTGTCTTCGGTGGTCACTCGTCGGGTTCCGTTCAGGTCGACCACTATCTTTGGAACCATCCCTCCACTTTCCTCAAAGGAGCCGTGCAGATGAGTGCCAACGCAATGTCTGGCCCTGCCTTTGCACCGCAGGACGAGGTGCTCGACGCTGTCGCAGCCGAGGTTGGTTGTCCTGCTGCTGGAGATGATCAAATCGAGTGCCTCCGCAATGTCGACATGTCGGAATTCTTGACAGCCAACTTCAACTCCACCTACAACGCCTGGTTCGCACCAACGATAGATAACATCACTCGTCACTCTGACTATCCCGCTCGCTTGGCCGCTGGTCAGTATGCCTCCCACGTCCCACTTCTCACCGGCACCTCCAACGGCGAAGGCACGATCTTCAGCCTCGTCTATGGCGCCCAGAACAGCAACTTCAGCTCGTGGATCAACACCTTCGATGCTGATGTCGCACACATTCCGGACAGCGATCTCATTGAAGCCTACTCAAGCTCCAACTACACCACTGAGGCCCTTCGCAGCGGCACCCAGTACGGCGATGCCCGCTTCAACTGCCCGGTGGATTACCTCATCGACCTGCGCAGCGCAAAGCAGGACACGTGGGCATACCGCTTCTTCGGCGCTTACGACAATGTTGTCGGCCCTCCTAACACGGCACCCACGCATGGCACAGAAGTGCCATTCTTCCACGGAGGCAACGAGTGTTTTGAGGGCTTGGCGAATGTCACGGCGGAGCAGCAGGCACTGGCTGACTCCATTCACGGGTGGTTGGTTGACTGGATTAAGGACCCGTCTAGCGGCCCTGGGTGGGATAAGACGTCGCCGTCTTCCTCGGCGCTTGTCAAGCTTGGTGTCCCTGGGGATGAGCTCTCGCGTATTCCTGCGTCTTTTGATGAGTTCAACAAGGTGTGCAGGGATGTCTACAACCCTCGCTTCCCGGAGTATCCGGTCGTGCAATCGTTTGCAGACGTTCTTGCCAGCTTGTAGCAACGTTTCGTGTATTGGATCCAGCTCATCATCGCACGAAAATAAACCACACTAATTTGGTGGAAGGAAGTGACTAGGTGCGGCTTTCATCTTGGTTGCATTTTTTGAAGCTTGCAATACGAGCGACTCTGCAGATTGACCGTGCAGGTGTTGGTGCATCGGCGTCCATCGACCAGTTATCTATGCGCGCGGCTACGGGAGCTGAATTGCGCATATGCTTAGCGTTTCAGGTTTGTGATCCCACTCTGCAACAACGGGACAAAACCACAGCCTGGCACAGCTGCAGCTGAATTAATAGATCAAATTTAAGCGCTCTTCAGCCTCGCACGCCCGACTGCGCAATTTTACTAAGACTTCGCTAGCGGCGATACCGCTACAAAATAATACATAGTATTGCTGATCTGCAACGATTGCTCTGTTGTGAAAAAAAGCATTACGTTTGACATTGAGGCGTCATATCCGACTATTGCGTATCGTTCCTTCGCTGCCAGTCTGCGACAGCTCCCATATTGCAGTACACGACGCTACATCCACATCCACTATCAAGGTGGTGCCCTTGACTATCACATATCACTGCCGCACTCGACACTTCCGCAACGATGGTCTCTCCGTCAAGGACGTACACTCCGTCAACGTGGTCGCCTCCATTGATAGACTCGTTCGGCAATGTCACAGCAGGTCTGCCAGAGGCAAAGTGGCACGCCGAACCCAAGATCCGCGGCACCTCCAGCATCCTTTCGTCCTGCCTAATCACAATGTTCCTCTGCACCTGGACGACTATACATCTGAATCTTCCTGAGCATAAGAAAGAATCTCGACAAGTCTATCGCAAGATCTTATGGCTAGTAATCGGACTTCTGGCACCGGAACTAGTCGTTTGGAACGCTTGGGAACAGAGATCGCAGATGAAGGCATTGACTAATGCAATGAAAGACATGGGCTTCGTGAAGGAGAATAAGGAATGGAGAATGATAGGCTGGATTATACGAGCGCCGACCGAGATAAAGGCATTTTTCCTTTTGAAGGCTAAGGATTGGCCTGAGCTTGCGAGTCCACGCGAAAACCAAGAGCTATGCCACAACCGTGTACATTCATGGACCGATGTTCACAGCTGGTATGTTATCACAGGCGGGCTAGCCTTTGAAGATACTGCGGTCGAAGAGCTCCAATTCATGCCTGGAACCCGGCAACGGATGGCCCTTACAGATCAAACTGTTCTCTGGCTTGCAGAAAATCGACCTTGG